TCAGAGTGGAAGACACCAATTATAAAAGCTTACAAAAAACAATCAAATATTACTTCATGATATAAATTAAAATTCTTAATTACTCTAGTGAAACAGCATGACAATGAAAAGATAAGAAGGTTCAGGAGAGCTCTAAATTTGAGAGTCTAAACCCTCAAAATTTTAAATTCCATAGTCAACGAGCGCAGACAGGTTCATAGAGTAGAAAAAGTAGAGAAAGTATTACCGACGGTTCCTAGAGCATGACCATGACTCGACAACAAAACACTACTGTTAATGAACCTCTATACGGCCAGCACTGTCTGGGAGGCGCTGCGTGGGTGGATCACCTGCAGGTCAGGAGTTTGACCAGCCCTGGCCAACATGGCGAAAACCCATCCTCCATACTAAAACTAGCAAAAAATTAGCTGGGCACGGTGGTGAGGTGCCTGTAATCCAGCTACTCCAGAGGCTGAGGTTGGAGAACTTGCTTGAGTGGGAGGAGAGGTTGCAAGGTGAGCCGAGGTGCATGGCGGTTGCACTCTCAGCCCTGGCAACCAAGAGGTGAAATTCCATCTCAAAAAAGGAAAAAAAAAAGAGGAAAGAGGAAGCAGAAAGAAAGGATCGAAGAGGGAAAAGAAGGAGGAGAAGAAAGGAGAAGAAAGAAGAAGAAGAGAGGAGGAGGAAGAAGAAGATAAGAGAAAGAGGGAGGAAAAGAATGAAGAAGAAGAAGGAGGAGCGAGGAAGAGGAAGAAAGAGTGAGGAGGAGGAGGAGGCATGGAGGCGAGGCAGACCCTCAAACTCCTGACCTCAGGTGATCCACCCACCGCAGCCTCCCAAAGTGCTGGGATTACAGGCGTGAGCCATGGTGCCTGGCCTTAATTTCTTCTTAAAAGGACGCCAGTCCTATTGGGTTACCGCCCACCCTAACCGCCTCATTTAACCCTAACCACTTCTTTAAACACTCTATCTCCAAATACAGTCACATTCTGGGGTCCTGGGGGTTAAGATTTCAGCATAGAATTTGTGGGAGACATAGTGTAGCCCATAACATATGCTGTGGGCAGAGTTAAGAGAATGAAGAAGGAGCCGGGTGCAGTGGCTCACGCCTGTAATCCTAGCATTCTAGGAGGTTGAGGTGGGCGTATGGCTTGAGCCTCTGAGTTCAAGACCAGCCTGGGCAACATGGTGAAACCCCATCTCTACCAAAAAAAAAGAAGAAAGAAAAGAAAAAAGTAGCTGGACATGGTGGTACATGCCTGTAGTCCTAGCTACTTGGGAGGCTGAGGCATGATGAGAATCGCTTGAGTCCGGAAGGCAGAGGTTGCAGTGAGCCAAGATGGCACCACTGCACTCCAGCCTGGACAACAATGTGAGACTCTGTCTCAAAATAAATAAATAAAAAGAGCATGAAGAAGGGCTGGTGAAGTGCCCAGGAACTGGCAACAGCAGAAAACTTTATCATCCCTTAGGCTGGAGAGGCAAAGGAGAGAGAGAAGGTGGAGTTGCTGGGATCAGTGAAGAGCTGTAGCCACGGAAGAGGGGCCGTCCACCAGGACATGTGTGGTGTGGCCGAGCGACACAGCCACATCAAAACTTGAGGCCTGGGAGCTGGGTGCAGTGGCTCACACCTGTAATCCCAGCACTTTGGGGGGCCAAAGTGGGAGCACTAGAGCCTAGGAGTTTGAGACCAGCCTGGGCAACATTGTGAGACTCCATCTCTAGAAAACAAAACCAAACAACAAAAAAACCCCAAGGCCTAGCAGGGAGGGAAGACGGAGAAGACCCCACCTCTCTCCCTTCCCAATCTTCCTCACTTTCAATAGCACCTCCCTTTGATCAAACCCATCTGGGTTTGGACCCCTTGGGCCCAAGCCATCCTCCCACTTCAGCCCCCTGAGTAGCTGGGACCACAGGCACATGCCACCTGGCTAATTGTTCTTCGGTTTTTTGTAGAATCAAGGTCTCCCTACGTTGCTCAGGCTGATCTTGAACTCCTGGCTCAAACTATCCTCCCATCTTGGCCTCATAAATTGTTGGGATTATAGGTGTGAGCCCCTGCACCCAGCTAACATCTGTTTTTCTATCATTCTGCTTTAACTAGATTAGAATCCTAGAGTCTGGGTGCAGTGGCTCACACTTGTAGTCCCAGCACTTTGGGAGGCTGAGGCGGGTGGATCACTTGAGGCCAGGAGTTTGAGACCAGCCTGGCCAACATGGGGAAACCCCATCTCTACTAAAAATAGAAAAATTAGCCGGATGTGGTGGCAGGCACCTGTAGTCCCAGCTACTCGTGAGGCTGAGGCAGGTGAATCGCTTGAACCCAGGAGGTGGAGGTTGCAGTGAGCCGAGATCGTGCCACTGCACTCCAACGTGGGTAACAGAGTAAGACTCTGTCTCAAAACAAAACAAAAACACTCACACACACGTTTGCCAAGCTTGTAATGTTGAACACTTATGTCCTTGCGCTACATACTGTAAATATATACTTTGGCATGGTTTAAGATAGTGGCCTGGCAGTTCCCTGGGTACATACTTGCTTCTTGCTTTATCCGTGTTGTTGGAAAAGACGTGAAATCACACTTTTTTGTGCCTGCACAATTGGAGAATGTTAACTTTCTTGGTGGTTGCTTTTCTTTTTCCTTTTCTTTTCTTTCATTCTCCTTCCCCCAGCCACCCTCACCCCCATCACACACCCACCCCCCACACACACACCCCGGCCTCCTCCTCCTTTTTTCATTTTTTTTCATCTGGGCTCTCCTACTTGTGTTGCTCAGTTGCTCAGGCTGGTCTCAAACTCCTGGCTTTGAAACTTCTCCTGTCACATCCACTGTCTGGTTGTTGAAAGGGTCATCTCTTGTAAAATGAAAAAGATGAAAAAATAAAGAGACACACACACACACACACACACACACAAAGATAGTGCTGGGCCGGGCGCAGTGGCTCACGCCTGTAATCTCAGCACTTTGGGAGGCCGAGGCGGGTGGATCACAAGGTCAGGAGATCGAGACCATCCTGGTTAACACGGTGAAACCCCGTGTCTACTAAAAATACAAAAAATTAGCTGGGCGTGCTGGCGGGCGCCTGTAGTCCCAGCTACTCGGGAAGCTGAGGCAAGAGAATGGCGTGAACCCGGGAGGCGGAGCTTGCAGTGAGCCGAGATCACGCCACTGCACTCCAGCCTGGGCGACAAGGCGAGACTCAAGTCTCAAAAAAAAAAAAAAAAAGATAGTGGCCTGGGCGGAAGGCCCCAGACACAGGGGTATTGATGCCCAAATGATAGGTGGGTTCAGTTGATTTGTTTGTCCTATCCAGGGTGAAGCGAATGTGTCTCCCTGAGTTGAGACCTTGTGTTCCTCCCATGTGTTCCAAAAGAAGACGGCTGTCAGGAAGGGTTTCCTCCTGGGCTGCCCCCAGAAGCCAGGGACAGACAGATGAGCTGGGATGGCCTGTAGCTCCGTGCGTCTAACCCCCTTTGTCCCAGTGCATTCTTTGATTATATCATGAGCCTGTCACTTTGCAGGCAGATGTTTGAATGGGCCAGACCAGAGTGTGTTCACAGCCCCTTTCAGAATAAGCCAAGATCCCCTGGGGCAAGGACGTATCAGGAGAAAGAAAGGCCCCTCCAGTGCCAGAGGCTGCATGTTGTCTCTTTTATTTGAGATAGGATCTCTCTCTGTGGCCCAGGCTGAGTGCAGCGGCACCATCACAGCTCACGGCAGCCTTGACCTCCCAGGCTCCAAGCAGTGCTCCCACCTCAGCCTCCTGAGTAGCTGGGATTACAGGGGTGTGCCACCACACCCAGCTAATTTGTTAATTTTTTGTAGAGATGGGGTTTCCCTATGTTGCCCAGGCTAGTCTTGAACTCCTGGGCCCAAGCAATCTTTCCACCTTGGCCCCGCAAAGTGCTGGGATTCCAGGCATGAGCCCCCGCGCCCGGCCTGCATGTTGTCTTAAGGAGTATTCGGGTTATTTATTTCTGTGTAATAAACCACCCTGAATGCGCTTGCTTGCAAGTCCGTCATTTTCCTCATGAATCTGTGGTTTGGGCTCTGTGGGGAGGTTGTCTCTCTCTCAGAGACAAGACCTCCGACCCACACAGCATCCTCCACGTCCTCTCAACCGAGGGCTGCAGGATCCATGTCCGAAGGGATACAGGGACATGGCTGGAAAGTGGGTGTGTGCCACCCACTAAGAGCTCAGCCGGGACTGAGGGCGGGGCCTCTTTACCTTTCCATGTGGCCTGGGGTTCTCATGGCAGGGGGGCTGGGTTCTAAGGATGAGGGTCCCAAGAGAGAGCCAGATTGACCGGAATCACCTTTGAGGTCCCAGCCTTGGAAGTCTCCTAGTCTCTTCCACCATCCCTAGTTGGCCAGAGGGGCTTGTCCAATTTCAAGCAGAGAGAACACAGACTTGGGAGAGCTGCAAGGTTCTAGAAGAACATGTGAAATGAGAAATAATCTTGTGATCATTTGGGGGTAGACTCTGTGCCCCAAGATGGTTCCCTGGGCAACCCTTGCCATACATTGGACACAGACATGTGAGGTAGGCACATCTCCCATTGTGGTAGGAACCAGGTAATGGTTGGTAAACTGTGTTGATATTCATTCATTCAGCAAAACTTTTTTTTTTTTGAGACTAAGTCTCGCTCTTGTCCCCAGGCTGGAGTGTGATGGCATGATCTCGGCTCACTGCAACCTCCACCTCCCGGGTTCAGGCGATTCTCCTGCCTCAACCCCTCTGAGTAGCTGGGATTACAGGCGCCTGCCACCATGCCCGGCTAATTTTTGTATTTTTAGTAGAGATGGGGTTTCACCATGTTGGCCAAGCTGGTCTCGAACTCCTGACCTCAGGTGATCCACCCACCTCGGCCTCCCAAAGTACCCGGATTACAGGCGTGAGCCACCGTGCCCGGCCACATTCAGCAAAACTTTATGAATGCCCACTTTGCACCAGACTTCATGCAAGTCTCTGGGAATATAGGTATG